TGGAAGGATGAAAGGTTGCTGAGAAAGGGAAGATTAGTGGTGGGACAGAATGTAGAACTGAGGAAGGAAATTATCCAACTCATGCATTCTTCACCACTAGGAGGACATGCTGGAACCCAAGCCACCTACAAAAGAATGGAGACATTATTCTACTGGAAGAAAATGAAGAAGGACATCAGAGTGGCTATTAAAGAATGTGAAATATGTCAGAAATGTAAACCTATTCTTCAAGCTCCAGCAGGACTACTTCAACCTTTACCTATCCCGGAGGCTATTTGGGTAAACATCTCTATGGACTTCATAGAAGGCCTGCCAAAGTGTGGCGGAAAAAATACTATCTTAGTAGTGGTGGATAGATTGAGTAAGTATGCTCATTTCATACTACTCACTCACCCATATACAGCTTCCATGGTGGCCAGAGCCTACTTTGATAATATCTTCAAATTGCATGGTCTTCCTAAGACTATTGTAAGTGATAGGGACAAGATTTTCTTGAGCAGATTTTGGCAAGAGCTATTCAAACTCTTACAGGTGGAGCTGCATATGTCGACCGCATACCATCCACAATCTGATGGGCAGACTGAAGCAGTCAACAAATGCTTAGAGACGTACTTAAGGTGCATGACTGGGGAAAAACCTAAAGATTGGGCTAATTGGATACCGTTAGCAGAATGGTGGTACAATACTAACTACCATTCTTCAACTCATAATACTCCTTATGAAGTTGTTTATGGGCAACCTCCCACACTTCATATACCCTATGTTACGGGAGATTCTACAGTGGATGCAGTTGACAGGAGCTTAAAGGCAAGGGAGGAATGTATTAATATATTGAAATTCCATATCAAACGAGCTCAAGACAGAATGAAAAGCATGGCTGACAAGCATAGAAGTGACAAAGAATTTGCAGTTGGAGATTGGGTATATGTGAAGCTACAGCCTTACAGACAACAGTCTGTGAGTTATAGAACCAATATGAAGCTATCCCCAAGGTATTTTGGTCCTTTCCTAGTGATTGATAGAGTTGGAAAGGTGGCTTACAAGCTGCAATTACCAGACCATGCTAAAATACATCCAGTGTTTCACATTTCCCAGCTTAAGAAACACTTTGGCAATCTTCCTATTAGCAGCTCTTTGCCTAATATTGATGAGAATGGACAGATGAGAAGGGAACCTGTGGCTATATTGGATAGAAAGATTGCGAAAAGAGGGAATGTTGCTGCTGTGTATTGGTTGATTCAATGGTCAAATACTGAGAAGGAGGAGGCTACTTGGGAATTGCATGAAGAGTTCATCAAAAAGTTTCCTGAGTTTGTGCAGAAGAATACTACAGCTTGAGGACAAGCTGAGTTTGAGTGGGAGGCATTGTTATGCATCTGGTGATGAGCTGGATTACTTAAGCTGGAGAGGGACCCAGAGATGAGCTGGCAGATGAACTAACATTCCAATTGGTTATTTGTTATCTGTTAGTTTGTTAGTAATTAGTTCAGCTCACTTGTATAAAGATATCATTGTATGTACGAACATAACTACTCTGTGAATATGATTCATCATCTTCTTCTCTAAACTTCTTCCCTTTCTGTTCGAATTCATTTCTTGAATTCCTATTCTCTTGGCTTCTCGGTTAACACCCTGGAACCATACCACTTTAAAATCACCAAATAAGGGATTTGATTTTGCAATTCGACGGTGGTAAGTAGGCGTAGGGATGGATGGGCGCAACTGGGCGCAACTGAGAAGGGGCACGCATTGCTCAGGACGGCAGCGCTGGCGGCAGTCTGGGCGGTCGCTGCGGCGAGTAGGCATGGGGTTGGGGTAACCGAGCAAGCAAGCGATTGGATGAACTGGTGACCGAGCAAACAAGGGACTGGATGCATCGTGCTCCAGGACGGCAGCGGGCGGCACGCTGTGAGGCGGTGGCGGATGATTGCAGGCCGTGTAGCGGCGGTGGCAGGGGGCGTGCGACAGGAGGCGGGTGGATGTCTAGAGGCAGGGAGAGTGGAGGATAGGGTTGAAGAAAATAGTAGGAACTTAAGGTTTTATAGAGATAACTTAAAGGGTATATTTGTCAACCAAATTTATTAATTCATTTATTTATTACGAATTTTAATTAAATATTACGAAATTTAATATTATTTTGATAAAAAAACTGGTCGGGTCATAGATTGGGAAACTCATTCAGTTTTAATCATATATGGGGTAATTATCTCATTATTCCAACTCTACGATATTTTAATAATCCTAGTTTTAGGTACTCAAGTATCTCTCTCTTCTTTCTCTCAACTAGTGTAGGCATTCCCAAAAATTTACTCGAGCACACCCCTTGATTAACTCTCATTAATGTACACACATCATGCTGTAGAGTAATCCCCACATTAGCGCTGTAAGATCCTCACACTCCTTTAAAATTTCATTTACTCCCTAACACTGATTTGATGGATATATGTCCTATGTGTATTTTGTAATTATCGAAATTTGGTCTAAGCTAATCTACTTTGATCTATTCTCGGATTGAAACAAACTCAATTCAAATAAAAATATCCTATAATGAAGTTCCGTATCTAGATACATTGGTCAAAATATTAGACGTTAGGAAAAGACTTCATTTTTTTTTTCTAATATGTTTTCTTACTTGATAAGATGTAGGAAATAGTCTAGGTATATGCTCTCTTTCTTGCTAATTTGTGTGTACCTTGTTGAGTTATTGGCATATTATGGAAACAAATAAATTCTTTTGCCGCACTCGTACATACCATACGATAGTGTATTATATATATGAGTATTTAATTTGCTAGCTCTCTACCGAGTTTAAGGCATTGAAACATTCATATTACTCGTAATCACTTTGAGAGAGACTATTCACATACACTTTCACATATACAATGTATGCTTTCTTGTTCTATTTTAGTTGCAACATTTTCATATTTGTCAACACACAACTTTGATCATAAATATATTTAATCTCTTAATTGAAAATATCATCAAAACTACATTTTGAAAATTTATAGCGAGAAGAATTTAATTACATAAAAAATAAGGGAAAAATAATTAAAATACCCCAAACTTTGAAAGGGTGTGAGGTAATCACCCCGAATTTGCACATGTAATTTAAATACCCCAAACTTTATATAAAAAGTTATTTTTACACCATGATCATGTATTATTTCTTTCAAAAGTGTTAGTTTTTTGTGTTAATTTCATAATTTAAAATATTTTTAGTATAATTAACATTCTAAACTTCTATTGTAAAATAAATAGTATAACCCCCACCCACCCCCCACTCTATATGATTGCAATGTTTTTAAATTGTTGTTTTAAATTATGCAACTAACACCATTAATTTACATTTTTGAAATAAATTATACATGACCGTGGTTTTAGAATAACTTTTTATAAAAAGTTCGGGATATTTAAATTACATATGAAAGTTTTGAGTGTTTATATCACACCACTTCAAAGTTTTGAATATTTTAATTATTTTCCCCAAAAAACAAATTTTTAATGTATTCGGAAATACTCCCTCCGTCCCCCTAAGTTTGGGACAAAAAGGTGTGGTGTGGTTTTTAAGAAAAAGTGGAATTGTGTGATTTGTATTGAATTGATAAAGTGTGAATAAAGTAAGAATGAATTCTAATCACTCAAATGTTACCAAATATGGTATGGGACAAACTTAGTGGGACGGATGAAAAAAGTAAAATGGGACAAACTTAGGGGGACGGAGGGAGTAACAAACAGTCAAAGCAGAGTGAATAGTGTAAACCTTTTAATGTTAAAACTACTTAAAATCGGAGGTAGTATAATCAACCCGGCCTGATTGTAGGCAGTGTCTCAGTCCCGATGCAGTGTCTCAGAAGATAAGTAGTTGCTCAGAGTCTCAGACGAAGATACTCTTAAAAAATCAACTTTATATAACTCTGTATTGATTCATATATTATTATTGGTGTGAGAAATATTTCAAAACTCCTTTTCACGTCGAAACACTTTGTCCGGACCGTGCATAATTCATTTTTCACCAATTCATTATAATTATTGTCATTTTCATAATAAGGCTAACCGCAATCCTGTTCTGTCAATAAATCAAATTCCCCATCTGTTTATACGTATTCATTCAGTCAAATTATTTTTCTCTACAACCCAACCCCGTCAATAAATTCACCCAACATATTTTTTTTAATTAAATGTATAGGTCCTTACTTTTACTATTACACATCAATTATGTGATAGGTTTTTTATACCAATAATTATAATTTAAAAAGTCAAACATTTCGACGTAAAAAAATTATTTTTTTCACAAATATTAAAAAATGGACACTTAAGTGTAATTTCAAATAAATTGCAAAGGGCAATGACATTAATACCAACTAGTGAGTGCTATGCAATACTACGAAACATTAATTAAGTGCCTGGAGTGCTGCGGACCACTGATGGCATGGCTGAGTAGCTCACACCTGGGACCGGCTCTGCACTCCTTCTCTCCGTCAATAATCCTACCAATTCCCACGGCCAGGGGTGCCATCCACCTATATAACACCCCAAAATACATACGTTGCAGTGTTTATTGGGTTGAATAGGTTAAAATTGGGTTATTCATGTGTGGGTTGCAGGCAGCCTAATCATCAATTTTCACGAGTCAATTGCCATGTTATAGATCGATTTGCCTATAATATCTTGTTAAAACTCGAGTTTCGACCCATCTTAAATACTGCGTATTAACCTTAATAGGAAGATCGAGTATTCATAATCTTGCATAATTACTTTATTAGTCACTTTTATTTAAAAAAATCAGAGTAAATGTGTGAAACATAGACGCACCCATGGGCCTAGCTTGGAGAGGGTCAGCCCTAGCCTTGACCCAGCCTATATTTTTAGTGTAATCCGTGTAATTTTTTTCAAAACTATTCTTTGTATTGTACTGGACCCAGTGTCGCGACTCCGCCCCTGGATACTGGTTGGATGCACGGGCACCCACTATATCATAAAGCTAAAATAACATTGGACCGTGGGAACATAAAATTTATTCAGAGATTGATGACACGGGAAAAGCAGCGTACAACTTGGCTTAGTTTATTCAAAAATCAGAACATAACGACGATGACAATCACACCATGCAAGCAACAATCTTCTTTCCATCCAAGAAAACAAGGAATATATATAAACATATAATCGTTATATATTATCTGGGCTTGACGCGAAAGACTTCAGCCCCCCAAGAATCAGCGGAATCAGCAGCGGCTTGAGTTGGCTTCTCCACTTTCACAGACACGCTGATCGCCGATATATAGTCGTTCTCCGTCAGAGCAGTTTCTGCAACAGCCCGAGCTATTTGCAGAAGTGTGGTATATGAATTCCCATCTTTCACTATTTTCTCCACTAACCTGTGGATCCATATATATGCAGGTGTTTCATGCTTTAACTTTTAATTCATTATGAGTTACAAATATCTAATCGAAGAAGGTATTTCAGTATTTTATAGATTTTGAATTTCAAAGTTCGGTAACCCCAATGAAGTTCCTTACTAGCTACATTGGTATTTATGCTAATGAGTAATGATCACGTAGTATGCACTACCTCCATCTCTTTTATTTAGCCATCTTTAACTTTTTTACGGACAAACACTACTAGAATAAAGTCTATTTGCTGCGGTTATTTCATCTATTTGCTGCGGTTCTCAACCGCAGCAATTGAAAGGGCAGCAAATTGTGAGTTTTCTTATTTGAACCGCAACAAATACTCAATTAGAATTTTTTAAAATGCTTTTGCGGCGGGTAGCAATGACCGCAGCAAATACTGAGACCAATTTACATATACAATACCAATATATACGTACCACACTACCAAGTGTTTTGATTATTGCAAATGGGGAGCAGCAAATAAGAGAAATTCTAGTAGCGAAAGATCATAAACTGTGATCCATTATTTAACAAATATATTTATGTGAGACTTAATATATTTATACTTGATGATAATATTTTTAACAAAGAACATTTTGATATTATCAATATTATCCTGTATAAATATATAATCGGTCAAAGTGTATTATCGTTGACTTGAAAATAGTGTTTCTCTAAATAAAAAAGGACGGATTAATGATTCCTTTGTGCGCACAAAATTAGAAGCCAGTTAGTTTGGTGACACTGTTTCCCGACTTATTTTTTTTATACCAAATACGAATTTTTTTTATACCCTGAATTGTGTAATAATCAAAATAAGTAAGATTAAAGTTACTTTCTGAATGGATTGAGTGAAATTACTCTATAAGATCATTTTAGTTATTTTTCATATGACTTCTCTTTATTTTATTAATAAAATATATTTTTATTTTTTTCATAATTCAGTAGAAATGAAGAACACTCATTTGTGTCACTTCAACCAAAACTTCATATATAAATTTCATATTCTATTGATTCAATTAATCGCAATATTACGCTCTAAATTTATACATTTACATATTAACCAGGAGTGGACAAAATTAATTAGATATAATAATATCATCTATTTCCTACTCCCTCCGTCCCTAATTTACCTCCCATTTTGACCCGGCACGGGGATTAAGATAGTGGGTTTTGTGTGGTGGAGAGTTGTGCAGAGGAGAGAGAAATGTGTAAGAATTGTTGTGAACCACAAATCCTTTGCCAAAAAGGGAAAGATGAGATAATTTAGGGACAGACCAAAAAGGATAGTTTGAAGATAATTTAGGGACGGAGGGAGTAGTATATTGTGTCTCACCGAGATAAATCTGTGGAGGGATGTTGTGGTATAGCTACACGCGTAAAGATCCAAGTATCAACATCCACGAAAATGTCCTGGTTCGACCAATGGTATTTCAATCCCTTGATTGTGGTTTTGTCTCCCAATGAACTACACATGAAAACAAATTTATATATGTCAAAAATTACAATCCACATACACTTATTGCCTCCATTTTTTTAAGATCTACTTTTTGAAGATAAAAATGGATACGTAATATAAACACATGTGTTTGAATGAAACTGCATAATATACATAAAAATAATCTTTTTATTTGATTAAAAAAGTATACACACATGTATTTGAAATCGCACCTTAAATTTGCATATATAATTTGAATTAAACGAGAACACGAGTATCTAATCTATTTTGTATGTATTCATTCGTATGTTTGTATATTTTTTTTCTTAAGGTTAATAAACGGCAGACCTGTTGGGAGGTGAGTTACTCAGAAACAAGTCGCTGCTCATAGTGAACTAGCTACTCTGTTTTTCCTGCGATTGGATTTTGTTATGGAGTATGAATTTTACTTCTTCCTTTGACACCCTTTTATAGCTAATAAACTGCACTACTAGCTAGCTCAATAATCAATATACTTGCTATAATCGACAAAAAAAGTGTCGATAATTCGACATGATATTATCCAGATACAGATTTATTATATCATTAATAATACACAACGGTGCTCTGTGGTGGAAGTGAAGAAGTGATCGCAGCAGCTGGCAAAACAATTGATGATGAGCCGTACGTTCTCAATGGTAGCCACATATTAGCAATCTTCAACAGGAGGGGGTGATCTCATTCATGCATTCCCTTATACATAGCCCCATTTTTATCCACAATTCCTATCATCCTAGCTATGGGAACAACCAAATTAAATCAATTTTGATTTGTTTTTATTTTCATTTTTTATTTCCCAAATCTTTTAAGACCTCGTTTGATCTGATTTGGATTTTCTAATCTGGTCTAATATGATCTGAATCTTTTTTATGTGATCTGAAATGAATCTTTCTGATATGATATGATTTGAATCTTTCTGATCTGATTGAGTTTTATTATTATTATTATTATTATTATTGTTATTATTAAATAATAATTTTTATTACTACATCCTTCTCGTTTAAAGGTTCTCATTACAAAATGATACGATTATTTAGACAATAACTAAATATAATAATCTGAGTACATTTTGAGAAATAATTTTGATGGTTGTTGATGGATAGTCTACCCGGGGGGTATCTTATCCGAGGGGTTATTACGGGAATAACTTAGAGAGAAGTCAGAGCAAATAGGAGGAGAGAGAGTCGATTTTATTAAATGAACTCGAGATGTGGAGTTGAGATGCAGATGATGTTGATTACAAGGAGAAATGGGCTGCTATTTATAGCAGCAATAAATGCGATGAGAGGACACGTGTCAGTAATCCAACGGCCGAAGGGTCACATCAACCTGGTGGCACCGGCAGTGGTACGTCAACCGCATTGAATGCGGTTGGCGGATGTGACGTGGTATTAAATGCGATGGTTGGCTGTCTCTAAAAGGAATCTTCGATGATTGAGCTTGTTCAGCCGAAGGCTCCTCGTGTAGCCGAGGGCTCCTTGTATGGCCGAAGGCTCCTCGTGTAGCCGAGGGCTTCATGTATGGCCGCAGGCTCAATGTGTAGCCGAAAGCTTGGTTCAGCCGAGGGCTTCCCCTGGTGCCGAGGGCTCAATAGTGCCGAAGGCTAATGTTCTCGCCGTTTTCCCCCAGTAGCTTCTTATGCCAGAGAAGGCTATTCTGTGAGTTTTTGAGCCTTCGGCCAGGGAGGCCGAAGGCACCGCAGTATGTATTTTGGGCTACTTTGAGGCTTGGGCCGTCGCATTTGGGCCTGAGTTGTTTCCTGAGCCCAATGGACTTGTGTAGGAGAAGTAGGAGTCTATGGGCCGGGGGTTCCTGGGCCATATACTCCATCAGTTGTATAATACACTACTACATTTAAGGACCTTTTGTAACAATCGAATTCGTTACTTTAGGTCTAAAAGTCCGTTACATTAGTTTAAATGTAACAGTTTCATGCCGTTACATTCGCTTGCGTTACCTTTTCTCTATTGTAACGGTATGTAACAGTTTTTAAAATCAATTGTAACGCTTTTAGAAAAAAACCAAAAGTGTTACAAAATCCAACCTAGTACAAATGTAACAGTTTTTTTAAATAAGCAAATGTAACGCTTCAGAAAAAATATGTAAGAAATACTATCATTAGATTTGTTCTAATATAGCATTTACTTAATTATATGTGTGATGTGTCTGTGGTGTATATATAACTTGTTTTGAACGTAAATTGGAAATATTATTAAAAATAAATCTTTTATATATAACTAACAAATACAGAGTATCACATTTAGTACATTTATAGTACATCTCACACTTGTATCCCTCCAGTCTAAAATTACATAATCAACTACAAAATTATACAGATCATACAAAAACCTAAATCGTAATAATCTGCTCATAATTTTGGGCATCCAGTGTCAATTTCTCAACTCGTTTCGTAAGGTGAGATCATCCATTGTGTGGTTTCATTCTTTTCCTCTCCATGTGGATTGTGGATGAATTCCTTATCTATAAAGTAAATATATCAAAACATTAATTAGCATCCATATAAAAATTGATATTCACTATATTTGAAGAATCTAAAAATAATGATTCAGAATTTATTCTTCGCAAATTTTCAACGTCTGTTGTAATAAAAAATTGTACACGACTGTTATCAAATTCTCAAATTGTCAAACAAATACTACCATTCTCAAATATTAATGTCAAGAACCTTCTTATAGCAAAAAACAATCTGCAATACTATAGAGTAAAATGAGTTATTTGGAAAGATTTAGAAACTGAAAAATGGCATTCTAATAGGGAAAAAATATTCTTATACAAAAATTAACTCTAGATCCGAAAGCTAAACACAATGTTTAGGATCATGGCTCAGAAATTGAACTTTCATGACAAAGATAGTATGATGACTCAACAACCAAAGGTAGTAGATTAACTTACCTCTAAATGCAAACCTTATATTTTCTTGTAAAGGTAAAGAGCTCCAGTATAAAACTGTTCCAAAACCTGAAACTGAGTTTAGTTGAATACTCCCTCCGTCCCATTTTACCTGTCTTACTTTCCTTTTTGGGTTGTCCCAAAATAAGTGTCATCTTTCCGTTTTTGGAAAGAAATATGTGGTTCATAACATTTCACTTTACTATACTCAAATCTCAACCACAACTTTTACCTTTTCAACCACTTTATTAAAAATTGTGCCAAAAGCAAAGAAGACACATAAAATGGGACGGAGGTAGTAATACATACCAGTACTATTTACTTACACAACAGGATTCTCTTGAGAAAATAGTTCTAACAATTCTTTAGAAAAAAATCAATACCTTACGTACTAATATTGCAGTGCAGAACTGCCGATCAACACATCTACCCACTTCAGAAACCTCATAGAGCAACTGAACTACCAAAATATGAGCTAAACTAGAGGTTGTGGCAGTAGACAACACCTAAAATCTTAAAAATCCTTATGTGCTACATGGAAGAGTAAACTGGGTTTTATACTTTCTTTTATAAGGATTAGTTGTATACATATTTTCTTTCTCTTGAGGTATATGCGGAAATATCTGAATGATGTGTTGATTATTCTATTTCGAATGTTCTGTCCATAACAAAATGGATTAAGAAAATGAAGATTCTTTTTGCTATATATCTCTTAAATGCTCAGAAACTAAAACGCTAGAACTTCTTAATTAGTAGAAATTCATAATACATGAATTCTTGGGATCTATTCATAAAATAGTTAGACTATGAATACATCTATTTTAATTAAACTTCAAGTTATGTTAGGAACATAAGCAACAAGAAGAAACTTAAACCGTGCTTCCGAATTAGCACTTGTAAAAGGGCACAATGTACAAGAGGGTTTAAAAGCTTCTGCTTTTACTCTATACAAAATGTAAAAAAAAAACTATTTAACTAACTAGATAGGGAGAATATATAAGTTATAACAGGGTCTGTTAACAAATAAAATAATATATGAATTCAAGAATTACATTAAGTGGATTTTTTATTTTTGTGTATAATCCATGATTATGAGAGGTTTATGTAGATCCAAGTATGTAACACCATCCCCAAATATAATTAACTTTATGTAAATTATGTATTGGACATGATGTATCTAGTAATGAATTTACGAGGTTGTAAAATTTTGTTATTTCTTTTGCGTGAATAGTAAATTCCACGTGGGGCCCACACTCGGAGCGGGGGGTAACCCGATAACACGAGACCACATGTTATATTCATCTTGGTCTAGATAATAGTTACATGGTGGTGGAAATTCATAATGGACCATAAGAAAGGCATTGGGTTGACCGGTTGTCAAACAATTACCAGTACCGACAATGTCTTCAGATAACAGTCCGAAATGAATTTCGGAGAATTTTAAATTAAAGTTGGGGAATGTACATTCATTCTTTAGACCCATAATTGTTATGGACATGTAATATATTTTATTTTGACCCGATAAAATAAAGTATAGTTAAAACAGTCCGAGAAATACAACTTTCGGGACAGAATGGACACTTTGGGACATATAAGGGTGACCTCCCACTTGGGTGGGGGCCACCCCACGAATTTATCAATCAATGGGGGGCTGATTGATTCCAAATTGGCTGAGAGCTCTTGAGAGGATGGGGGGAACACCTTTGACATCCAAAGGGACCCTCTCACCCATAATAGCTCAAAGAGACAAAAAGGGAAGGCACACCCCTCTCCCATCCACCATTCTCGACCAGAACCACCCAAGGAAAGAAGGGAGAGCTCTACAACTCCATTCCCATAGCCAAATTCGAAGCTCAAGCTTAAGGAGTCCAAAGAAGGGATTTTAAGGAGGAAAAAGTGAAGAAAAGTGTGAAAGATTAAGGAACTTGTAAAGGGTGATTTAAGAACTTTCACGAAGTTGAAAGAGTTACCGGAGTTGTCGCCGGAGTTCATCAAAGTTTGCCGGAGTTTCATCGGAGTTCAACCGGGAAGGGTAGAACTTCATAACACTCATTTGAGGTGAGTGGACGGATTAATGTCTTATAACTCTTGGGTTAAGTATGAGATTACCTAAATGAATGTTATAAGTATTCATAATGATGTTTAAAAGAGTTTAAGCATGTGATTAGCCAAGGTGATTAGGCTTATGTGAATGAAACTACATGATTATGCATGTGGGAAGTAGAAAATATACATAAAAACATATGTGATGTTTTGGATGGCCAAAATGACATTTATTGATTGTTTTAGACAGGATATAGGTTGTGTAAAAATTTCGGATCAAACGGATCACGTTTTGGGGGTCAACTCGGGGGTCAACAGGCCGTTGACCCAAAAACTCCGAACATACCCAGCACCGGGTATAGGGCATACCCGGGGCCGGGTAAGCTGCTGCCTCCATATGACGTTTTCGCCGAAAACGCGAATCGGAGCCCGGTTCGAAGGGGGGTTGATCTCGTACAACCTATGTGTGTATATTGTGCATGGAATTGCATGCAATATGATATTTAAATGTCAAGGTTGATATTTATGGATTTAATTCTAAGACTTGGTTTAGTCTTTAGTAATAATATGATAGGTCGGGTGGAGTACCCAGGGATCGGGCGTGTATCCTCAAAACTCGGTTATATAGGGTGGAGTACCCAAGGATCGGGCGGTTATCCTCAAAACTCGGTTATATAGGGTGGAGTACCCAAGGATCAGGCGGTTATCCTCAAAACTCGATTATATAGGGTGGAGTACCCAAGGATCGGGCGGTTATCCTCAAAACTCGGTTATAGGGTGGAGTACCCAAGGATCGGGCGTGTATCCTCAAAACTCATAGATTACATTTAATAATCTAGGACCGGGTGGTGTCCCTATGGTAATTTACTTGAACAAGGAGGAGTTCTATACACTCATAGGTATATGGGTGGGTTGGGATTTAAGTGAAGGACATTGGCTTCTATTATTTTCCCAAATAAACAATGACCTACGGGTCGGGTATTTCCAAGTGTATATATACTAATATGTATTTCAAAACTTGGGGGAAGGACTATACGGATATGTATCACCCTATGTTTGGGTCTTATACTTAAAACGTTAGTTATTCTACATTTAGCTTGCTACTCGCTCGGTACTTGTACTGACCCCTTCGGGGGGCCCCACCATTTCAGGTTGAAGCTCAAGTTGCTATTCTCACCTTGCTCGGTGAAGTGATCCAAAGGGAGACGTGGTTCGTGCTTCCTTTATTGTTTTCAAACTATAAACTATGCTCATGGATACTTTGTAATAAATACATTAGTTTTGGGCCTGCGTGCCTACGTTTTGGCCATGTGTGGCCCACGATTGAATATTGAATATTTCCGCTATTCGTTCAATCCTAATATGTGATGTTGTTATGTATGTTTACTTACTGAGTATGGTATGGACTAAGTTCATGGACGCCTTGTTTGACTAAGTTACGTTGACTCGCGGGTGACGTCATTTAGTCATACGGCGGTTGTACACGCGCTCAGATGCGGTCTGGGGCGTGACAAAGTAAGTAAAAATTTCAATATAAGCAGTTCAATTCAGACATGTATTCTGTCACGCCCCGGACCGCATCCGTGCCACGTAGACAACCGCCATACAACCCAATAAGAACAACGTAGTTCATTCTTATTGAATCATACAAGGCGTCCGTTGAGTTCTATTGCCAAACCGATTAGTAAACCCATACAATCAACATCAATATATATTAGTCAACGAATGCGGAAAATAAGATATGTTTGATACTTAGCCACACGTGGCAAATACGGACACGCAGGCCCCTCAAATGTTTTAATGGAAAACATTGTTAAAAACATCCATGAGCAGTTTATAAACTTTGAATAAGAATGGAAGCACGAACCACGTCTTCCTCTTTGATCAATCACCCTTGGCGAAGGTGCAGGTAGTAGGACTCTAGCCTCAACCTGAAAAAATGTGAGGGCCCCCGAAGGGGTCAGTACTCCATAGAAGTACTAGTGACAAGCAGGCTATATGAGGAATAACTAATGTTTCAGACACGAGACCCAAAAATAGGGTGATACATATGCTTATAGGTGTAACCATTGTTACCCCCATTCCCAAGATAATACATAATGTATATACTTGTAAAATACTTGACCCGTAGGTCGTTTTATCACAAAGAGTCTTTTAGAGATAAGGTACTTTCCCAACCTATCCCCTTTCCATTCCTGAATGCCTAGCTTGAGAGCTACATTCTACCTTCATAATATCCTACCGAGTTTCAGGAGGGTTTACCGTCCCGGGGATACTCAACCCCAACCGAGTTTTAGGATCATTTACCGTCCCGAGGATACTCAACCTCAACCGAGTTTTAGGATTGTTTACCGTCCTGAGGATACTCAACCTCACCGAGTTTTAGGATTGTTTACCGTCCTGAGGATACTCAACCTCACCGAGTTTTAGGATTGTTTACCGTCCTGAGGATACTCAACCTCTCCGAGTTTTAGGATTGTTTACCGTCCTGAGGATACTCAACCTCACCGAGTTTTAGGATCGTTTACCGTCCCGAGGATACTCAACCTCACCGAGTTTTAGGATCGTTTACCGTCCCGAGGATACTCAACCTCACCGAGTTTTAGGATCGTTTACCGTCCCGAGGATACTCAACCTCAACCTTATTTCTAACCAAACCCTAACCTGGATATGGCTAACCTTTCATTCACTTAACTATGGACAATACCTAGTCCTATAGTCATATAATAATCCCTAGTAACCAACGTGGGCGGGTCCCACTTGAACGACCCACGTTAACCTGCTCAAAACTGCCTGTTTTGGGCCTAGTCCAATACCCGGTCGGGTATCCAACCTTACCCGGTCGGGTAGGTCGGGGCAGAAGCCCCTGGAACTGATTTTACTTGAGACCCGGTCGGGTCTATAGCCCCACCCGGTCGGGTCTAGTAAGACAGTGGCTTCTGGAGCCATTTTAATCAATACCCGGTCGGGTATCCATCTTACCCGGTCGGGTATCACCCTTGTCTCGGCGGTCAACGCCCGTTTGACCGCCCAAACGAAGTCCGATTAACGTGAAATTTTATATGCACATTCTACTTGAAGTCCTTGATCCAAAAATACCATTTTTGACCCCTGGATCATTGTACATAATAAGTTATCACATTTTTAATCACCAAACATACAAACATGCCTTTCAACTTTGTTTTATATATATTCATGGCATAAGCCCATACTTGATTAACTTTAATCATTCCGTAAAACATATACTTGATTTCTTTAGGTAACCTCATGCCTCAATCAAAAGTTATAAAGCATATAGCCGTCTTCTCACCTTAATGAAGCTTATGGAGTTCTAGCCCTTCCCGATTGAGCTCCGGTGAAACTCCGGTGAACTTCAATGAACTCCGGCGACAACTCCGGCGACCCTTTCAACTCCGTGAAAGTTCTTGAAACACCTTATACAAGTTATTAACAAGGTTTTATCATCATAAAACCCATATCAATACAAATAACCTCAAAAAGGTTATTTTCCGGTGAACCCGTCAACTTTGCTTTCAAAGTTCGTCTTGGGTATATACCAACCCTTCAACCCCCATTCTACACTTTTAAATGTGTAGGACTATCCTAGGAGTATGAAACATGATTAAGGAGAAGGAATGGGGTTAATGGAGTCATTACCTTGATAACCACAAGTTTTCCCCACCTAAACTCCTCTTTTCTCTTCTCTTTTCCTTCCCTTCTTCCTCCCCTTGCTTTGTGCGTGAATGGTGGATGAAAATGGAGTTTTTCCAGACTTCTCTCCTCAATGAAGCTGGCTTGGACGAGGTACAAGAGCTGGGGTGATTGTGAATGCCCCTTTTGGCTTATTTGCCAATAATATGGGGGAGGGGACCCCTTTTCCTTTCAACTTGGTATCAAGTCACACCCTCCCTCTTTCCACATGACTTTGTGCGGCTCCCCCTTGATATTTTGCAGACCAAGGACGTGGGGTGGCCCCCACATATGTGGGAGGTCATCCCTTTGTGACCCGAGATGTACAATCGGCCCCGAAAGTTGTATTTTCCGGACTGTTTCAACTATATTTCATTTTATTGGGTAAAATGAAATATCTATCATTCTTCCAATTATTATTGGCTATAAGAATGAATGTATATTCCCCATCTTTAATTTGATGGTCTCCATAATTTATCATGGCCCTTTTTATCTGATATTCCTTGAGTACCGATAAATGGGCTTTATATGCCCAAGCGGTTACTCCCATGATTTATGTGGTCCAACAAGGATGCCCACCATTATACACATGTTACCTTGACCCAAATGAATATAATATGTGGTCCCGAACATATCGGGCGGCCCCCACTTCCGGTGTGGGCCCCACGTGAATTTTACTATTCACGTAAAAGAAATGATAAAAATTCACAATCACGTAAAATGCGTTTATTCATTCCTCGGGTTCAATACATACTTTGATAAAGTACAATTACTTGGGGGCGGTGTTACAAGTTCTACCCCCCTTATTTGGGATTTCGTCCCCGAAATCCACGTGTCTAGTCAAACAGAAATGGATACTGTTCCCTCATCAGGGTCTCCACTTCCCAAGTTTGCTCCTCGACACGATCACTCTTCCAAAGCACCTTCACCATCGGTACCTCTTTACTCCTTAGCTTCTTTACCTGTCGGTCCATGATCTTTACCGGCTGCACCGCATAGTGAAGGTCTTCCCGGATTTCTACCGGTGGTTTCTCAAGAATATGTGACGGGTCCCGTACATACTTCTTGAGCATAGAAACATGAAATACATTATGAATCTTTTCTAATTCTGGAGTTAACTGAAGCCGGTACGCTACAACCCCAATCCTTTCAATGATTTTGAATGGGCCTATGTAGCGTGGGTTAAGCTTACCCCGACTGAGGAACCTGATGATCCCTTTCCAAGGTGACACCCTCAGAAATACCTCATCGCCGACCTCGAACTCTAACGTCCTTCGTCGTTTATCTGCATAGCTCTTCTGCCGATCTTGGGCAGCCTTGAGTCTATCCTGAATAACCCTCACCTTCTCCTTGGTGATTTCGACTAGCTCGACGCCCTCAAGCTTAGCCTCGCCTACCTCATCCCAACACAAAGGTGTCCGACATTTCCTCCCATACAATGCCTCGTATGGAGGCATGCCTATACTTGCTTGATAACTGTTGTT